AAAAGACGTAAAGGAATGTCGTTCTTACAATTTGTTAATTACAAATAATGGTTTGTATGATATATACATGTAGAGCATATGTTACAAAGCTACAAGTTTCGATATATATGCCGTGACAATTTTCTATTTACTTCACTCAAGAAAAGTTAATTGTAGTAACATTATACACAGCAACCCGCACTTTTTAGCTTTAACGCTAAACTCTACCCATAGTTCATTTCGATAATGTAGTAAAAGGAGAGGATGTCATGTATTATCAGCATTTTTAAGAAACATACTGGCATATGGTAGTCCCGATATTGTCACACAGGACAACATTTGAATACAAACAAAAACAACCCTCACACGCACTTGAAGTTGAACGAACAAAAAGTCATCGTCAGGGTGACCTTAGGCACGGTGGACCTAATTATGGTTTTTCATTACGATGGCAAACATAAATTGAAGTATTTCTGAATATTATCACACATACATACAGGTAGTCATAAAGGTTTGGGGGGTACCTATGGCGTGCGCTTTACTAAAACCTGAGACAACTAATTTATAAGATGTACGAGCTTAAACATTCGCCTCGCATACACGCTCCAATATACTCCATGGTAGTCAGTGACTTCTGCCCAGCATATGTCATAACAAAATAAACAGACAACACAAGCTGTTTGTAGTGGCGTATTTTCTGGGGAAAAAAACAGAAAATAAACATGTTACAGTGGCTTTTGTCTTTTGAATAATTAATTAGCATATTATATATGTAGTTGGACGCAGCAGTCCTGTGATACTGTGACTGTTAGAAACAATTCTTGGTGGTAGTATATTCGACTAGAAAACAAGCAATGTGAAGCTATCATTATCCTTGCTGTATGATTGAATATCTTCCACATTCATTTTTACCGCAGCGGATTAGGGTGGGAATGAATTGCATGTGATCGGCTAAACTCCCCCACACCCATGATGTATATACATAATTACATCTGTTGGCTAAGTATAGCAACGGGTCTAACATCAGCACGCCAATAAGACCGTTCTAAAATGAACGTGTATATAAATACTACCTCCTCCAATGGAAGTCAAAGTTGGTTAAAGTATGGAGCAAGTCGGGTGCACACAACCACGGGGTCATTGCTGCTCTCTCTGTTGCGAATTCCCCCTTTTCTAACTCTTGCCCCAAAAATATGCATGAGCTCAGAAACTGCACGTCATGAATAAATTAACAACTATATGCTCGTTCTGTTTAACATGCTAGGATTTATTACCGTTATTATCATTGAATTGTGACGTAATTTGTCCCACTTTATGCGTAATGTCTTAAGTATCTTTATTGTAATTTGTATATACCACTTCGTATATACCGAGGAAACGACCCTGATTGTGACGTCAACAATTCGTGTGTAGGTACGGCTTCCGGAACTGTGCCTAATGCTATTTTGCTGGAAGATTGTGAGTTACAACGTGTGTGGTCCGCGTGCAAACGAACACAATCAATCTTCGGTTTCAGATAGTTACGTCATATTGACGTCACTGGAGTGCTTTATTACGAGAGGGCTCAACTTGTAGAAAATGTGTAATAATAAACATACTCACTCTTTATTTTTAACTTTATATTTTCGTAGAAAATATACAACGCTTGTTGGACTTAGTATGGCGATCATCTCTGTTTTACCATCATGTGCTCTGATCGACGAAACTGTACATGTGTCAATTATTGTTCGTCACTTGACTCCAAATCAGCCAATCACGTTATCTGCCACCTGTGTGGATGAGAGAAAAGTAAAATGGAGCTCCTACGTGTATTACAATATGCCGACACAGATGTCAGAGGTATTCACCCATTATGATTCACCTTTATCGTACGGTGGCCTTAAATTCTTGCGTTCCTCGCATCGCGTTTGCATTAATAGAATGAAAAGGCGGTGAACCATGCGTATCGTACTGTCGAAGAAGACTCAAACACGCGAATTGGAAAGCAAAGTAGTCAGTAATAGCGCATGTTAAAGGTCGGCCATTGATATATTTTAGGACTTATGCATAATCTCAACAAATGTCACACATTCTGGTACTTTCACTATTATTTTTTCTTCGACAAAAAAATGTGTCATTACCATTCAATAATTACAGTTTAAACATGGCAAAATTAATGTATAATATTGGATATCATTACTGTTTTTGAACAACAGTATCGCAATAAAATACAAAGATATAACACTTTCAGGGTCATGCATTAACTTGTATGTGAAAGTGTTATCCTTGCACTGGATTGAATGCTCCTCGTACGTGATATGTGCTCACATTTCGTCTCGATATTTGTCTTTTATGAATATGTTTAGTTAGTATCAGTGAACACTGAGTGGTGTATATTCACTGTCAACTTATTTTCAGGGGTCAAAACTTGACAAAATGACATTTTAACAGCGTTTTCCATATATCACAATTGTCTGCGTTGCCTGCGTTTATTTCCTTCGACTTGAGCACCCCATATTTTGATTCAATTGTTTTCATCCCTGGAACATGTAATGTCAACATGTGACATTTTATTTTTATTTTTTGTATACAGATGGTCAAGCATATGAAGCATTTTATAGCTTGGTGTTTATACCACATGATTTTTAGACGTAATGTCACCCGCAGAGTCATAAAAAGTAATATCTTAGTGTTTAAAGAGCGGCAGTCGTCGTGCCGCTTCCTGTTCGATATGGTACTCATAGCGACGTATACAACTCGTGTAAAATACATTGTTTATTTACATGAAATTCGAACACGCGCAGCGCGACGACCACCGCGCTTTAATGCATGTATGTTTAATACCGGTGAGCATCATCACACCAAATGAAATCCTGTATTAAACAATAAATATATATATATATTTATAACATTCTATTTATTTCACATATTGCCTTAGCAGTAGACCAGCCAGCAATTGGTGGATACTTTACTGGGATAGAACCAATGGGGTTGTTTTGGAGCATGAAACCACATGCGATCAAACCTCTCACCGTTTACGTTCGTGTGTACAACTGCTGTTGTGATGTATCACTTAGCAACGAACAGAGGCCATCATGCATCACACTGACGACCATCATGATTGGGAGGTGAAACTTGAGCCCAGTAGACAAACAAATACCCGTTCGCGGTAGGCATGTTAAAGGTGTACTGTTCTTCCCACCAGGTTAGCAAACACAGAAGCTTACAATAGATATTAAATAATGAGACGTGTTATCCAGTCATTGATGCACCCAGTAAGTGTTAGTACGCTCAAAGCAAACAAAAACCAGGAAACTAGATCGCCAACACACCTACCCGTTACTCAATCTGTTGTCAATAATGACATCCCAAAATGCAACTCGTGGGTCGATTTTCCACGATTTGAATAGTTCCAGGGCAAAATCCATTTTTAGAAGATTTGTACCAACTGTGGCACTGTTACCAAGTAACATGCGAGAAGCTTTCCACGTCAGCTACGTGAATCTCTTGCTGATTTCTTCATCCAACCATCTACCCATGGTTTTATGTTCATCACCCTGGTCGTAAACATGTATCAATATGCTCAACTAAAGCACATTTTAGCCCCACCAGTCAGCAAATACATAAACCTTATCCTCTTGCGATACGACTGATTACCCAGCCAAGCTACTGTTAAGCATGGAAGTCACGGGCATATATCTGCTGCTAATAAAAAGCGCAATTAACAATCGCGTAATTCGATCTCTCGTGAATGAGAATCCTAAATGAGATCCAGTACATTAATTACATTGAAGCTCCATTCATCAATGTAGTTACTTTTGCTAAGCATATTTGGTTTCCCATTCTTCATATTTGGTACCCAGTCAGGGATTAGGTATGAACCCATACGTTCATAAGTATCCGCAATACTCAACGCCACCTGCTGCAGCTCAGGTATCGTACTGCCGCCCCGGACTACCGCCCTGCAGTATCCTAATCATACTCTGGATATCTGTGCGTACCAGCACATCAAACCCGACAAGGCTTGTCCTGTTACCAAGTAACATGCGAGGAACTCTACGAGTTCTTTCACGTCAGCCACGTGGATATCTCTTGCTGATTGCAGCACCCAACCATATACCCATGGTTTTTGTGTTCATCACCCTGGTCATAAACATGTATCATTATGCTCACGCAATGCACATATTAGATTTCCCTGTCAACAAATACATAAATTTCATCCTCCTGCATATACGACTGATCACCCTGCCAAGCTACTGTTAAGTTGGACAGTCACTGGTACATATATGCAATTAACAAGAGCCGAGTAATTCGACAATACCTGCACTGCTAACAAGTAACATGCGAAGAATTTGCCCCAGTTCTCTCTACGTCAGCCACGTGGACCATCTACTCAAGGATTTGTGCCCATTCAGGCCAACAGTATACCACCTAATACGACATGCAGATGCACCAGTTAACACAAAACTAGGACTTGGACATTGACTATCATCAACTAGCAACGCGTCATCAATATTCCGTGTTTAACTAGATCCATAACTTCTAATGACAAATTGTCAATTTTAATCACAGTCAAATTAGCACCTTTAACCAAATATGAGTACTAAAATCGTGTACGAACTCGCACTGCAAAGTCTTTACTGGTCGCATACAGCCAATCTGACCAACGAATGCTGCCTGTGCCCTCGCTTCCCATGTATACATACCCATATTAAACATGCATCAATATGCAATGCACATTTTAGCCCCGCTACTAGCGGATACAAAAAAATAACTTTCTTCATATACCATAGATGGGCCAACCAAGCTACTATTAAGCATGGCGACCACTGAAACTAACAAATAGCCTCTACGAGCGCAACTGGTTACTCAAGTGCTAGCGCAGAGGCGCCAGCTATGACATCCAGATACGGGACAAACGTGATGCCCTGCAAGCGCCACCACACGATCCAAATCATACCAATTTTTGCGAAAAAAATACGGCACCGTGGAAATACCAACACCGGTAAAAATATTTGCACATACAAGAAAACTTTACAAACAAAACCAAAACACTGATGATCCTGACAAATCTCAATACATATACTTCATATCGAATGTAAGCAAACAACTACATTTTTACAAATCATCAACAAAATACAAACACAAATTCAATTCATGCAGTCCAGTACCAACATACGCTTACATACAGCTGTTAGTGAAACATGTGAACATTTCGTAACAACCATTATTACATATGTAATGCAGTTTATTTTGATTCGTCCCTGAAATCAAAATCGGTATTTCCACACCCCATATGCAAATGAGGTCTGAGAGCAAACAAAGTAGTTCTTTCACGAGTACCGTTTTTCGAAACGTAGCAAAAATAAACAATATTTAGAAGTATGGTATTTTTCCTTTGGGATACATGAATATACTTGCTGAGTGAAATAAAATATGAACAACAGTAATGGTACTTTTAGACAGTCACTTATTTTGACTAAAACTAATTTGAATATCACCCATGCAATAATGTTTTCGGTATTTTCACGGTCGATATGCAAATGAACATGGTATTTCCATTGGCTACCGAACTATTTTTATTTTGTAAACACATTTTCGTCTGCTATTTTTGTGCGGTTCAAATCGTTCAGCCACATTTTTGGCATATTAGGTGTACATCACATGGAATACTACGATTGGGAGAACTTAAAGCGCGGCGGTCGTCGCGCGGCGCGTGTTCGAATTTCATGTAAATAAACAATGTATTTTACACGCGTTGTGTGCGTCGCTATGAGTCCCATATCGAACAGGACGTGACACGACGGCCACCGCCCGTTAATGTATGTTGACCACTTGGAAACTGAGTTTTATATACCTTGAAGGGCTCTCGGAAGATCCACCCGCAGTAAAAACAGCGATTACTATGGAGCCGCAACCCAACCATCCACATCGAGATACCAGGAGGTTTCTGCTGGCGACGTTGCGGCGTTACTCGTTTCCAAATACTCATTTCTGCTGCATTTCTGCTGCACTTTCACGAGCGAATACACTCGCTTCGCTCGTGAAAGTACGGCCACAGGATACACCGCATCACTCGTGACTAATTTTCACACGCAACGAAAGCCTTGGGAAGGGTGTGGGGTTCTGTCATTTTACAAAGCAACTTGTTAATTTCGCCCATGGCAAACTTTGTATTATTCATTGCTAAATTATTGTTATGATCGCTAAATCGCTTATAACGGGGTCCTAATAAAAGGCAATTTGTACCTATTAATAATGACGTTCAAAACATATGATTTAACACCTGTTTGCCTCTAAAATAGAGTGAACCCATGAGCCTACCAACTTGTGACGACTCATTACCTGCTGCAGAACTAGGCATAGCAGTTCAACTTTCATACTCAGTGTGCCTTAGAGGGCGCACTCACAAACTCAAACTCCATCATTGTTCATTACGACATTTAAAAAAAGAAACAGACACATAATTACATCATTGTCATTTCCCTCATGGCATATTTTTCTGTGATATTTACACGAGAGTTTTACTCACAAGTGCATTTTGTCCTTAAAATATATACAAACACATTTAACCTCAACGGCCACCTCTGCATTGAAGGTTCGTCAGATAATGAGTTTCGTATTTTAGTCAGTTTCACGATCGAGCCTGGACAATCGATTGCTTGAGATACAGTGATGAGTAATTTGCCGATTCAGTTGTAAACACCCTCTTAGTGCGTGTTTAATAGGGCTATCGATATTTTAAAAACAGAGACTATTCTAACGATTACCAAACATGACAGTTTTGTTTACCTCATTCAATGGCAAATTGTAACTTACATTTATTCTTTGGTGGCAGTTGATTATCTTGGAAAGAGACTTTCATAGTCCATCAGAAGTTCTACTGATCTGTTTTGTAGGATTTTTACAAAATAAATGAACATAAAAAATACAAATGCAGTAATACTAACTATGACCGTGACATATCTATGATATACTGAAATTCAAAATTGAATTCGAGGAAATTATAAATATAAGAATTACAATGCGCACCACGTTTAAAATAGACATGTACAAAGCAAAGGCAAAAACAGTAATTTAATTTATCTTTCATGAGTTCCCGCTTTAATACAATTAAAAGAAACATCGTTTAAACGCGATATGTTTCCTGTGAATCCCATTTACTCACAGTCATTGAAGAGATTGAAATACTGCATAGAAACTATGATCTAGTGATTCAAGCACATTCCCAGTATATCACACAAATAAATGCGAATACAAAAATACAACAAAGGTGAAATACAGTGAGAATGTAAATGCACGGATATTTAAACAGTTTCGTTTGGGACGCTGTGTTTGGTTAATAACTGGATTAAGTGTGTTTTGCAGCAGTTTTGTAATCTACCAAATCTCTCCACTCTAATGTAATGTAATGTAATGTAATGTAATGTAATTTGTAATGCAATGTGTAATGCAATGTACTGTAATGTACTAAATATGATGGTTACACTCTATGTGTGCTAAACAATCTCACAAATCAGTGCTCATTTCTTCAAGGAGAGCATCTGGTTCAATGACATCAACAAAATAATAAAGAGTTTTGTTCTTTGTCCAGGAGTGCGAGTTGTCGAATCTTATGATATCTGCAATCGAATGTAAAATATATTATTGAGTTAAGAAATCACATATTACAGTGCGTGTTTTGGGAATCTAGACGTAATTATGATGTAATAGCATACAAGCTACTTCAGTGAGGTTGATAAATTGTTCACGCTAAACAGTTACTTCCCTAATTGAGCTCAAATGTGTTATTAGTATTACTACTAACGTGATAAATATTAATAAGTACGACTGTTATATTTACATGTTCCAGCTTCTGGGCAATCAAAGCTTCCATCTTCGTAAACCAGATGACTGTTATGTTTCTCCATTTCCTGTACCTGTTTCATCTGTTTATTACCAGTCTGTAAGAACACAGTCAGCCCTATATCACCTCCGTCAGTTTTGAATACATATCTGTAATACACGCATACATATATCTCCATTTAATATATTCTACAATTGTATATATCATAATTACGTACCTTTGATTACGTACATTTTTTATTTGACAGGTATTACTCATCATTAAACAACATCGCATGATCATGATCCTGGCTAACATTGAGGCAAATGTTGTTTCAATAAGTTGTATTATGCTGAAATTTGCTACTGGATAATTTTATCATCAGTGCCATAGGTCACCTTATTGCACTATCCTTTTTCGTCACTTCAAATGTCAAATCGAATTTCTTCTTCACCACTTCTTTATTCAAGTATCTGTCTTCTGGAACTAATGGTTCCTGACTGTAATACTTTTCTGGAACAGGACCACCTGGGTTTATCTGCATTAAATGACAAATAAAAAAATGTCAAGCTAGGAATGTGTGTGCATATTTGATAGTTACGTAAGTGGAGACTTATGAATATAAAACGATAATTTAGTCAACAGATATGGTCTTCTTAACTAATTGACTAGTTTAATAAATGAATTCTTTATATATAATTGTGATAATAAAAAAGACTCACTAAATTAGGACATTTTGGATCACCAGTCTTAGGATCAGTCATAGTACCTCCCCAGTGAATTGGCAAACTTTCTGCGGGGATGTCCTTCAGTAAGGTTGATTGAAAATTGTCTAGAAAGGAAAGCATGCTGTGTAATGCTTTGTATAAATGCAAGGTTTAAATAATGGTCGACATTATATTAGAACATACTAATCAAAAGGAGTATGTTGAAGGAATACTTACGACTGAGGACATGGACCTTTTTACGCACACCTACATCTAAGAAAGGTTTCACTAATGCATAGATAACTGGGAAGACTTTTGGGGCCCTCACGATGTAGACGATTTTCAAGGATTCTGGATAATTGTCTTGCAAAAATTGTGCAAACTTTGAAAAAATAAGATAGAATAACATGATGAAATAGACACTAGACATTATTCAGCTAGAACGTTGAATTTTCGCTCAAGAGGGTGGGGATATTTGTGGTTGAAACGAGTAATGAACGTTTGTTGGTACAAAAGAATAACAACAATCATACAAACCTCAATAAAAGTGTATATACCTGGCTTCCATAGTGTTTTGTACCTAACCCTTCCAGGTCAACAATATATGTAAGTGCTTCTATATTTTTTCCATACTAGAATAAATAAAACAATTCATTGATCAGAGAAATGATATTGTAATGCTGTGATGTGTTATTGACTTTTATGAACACAAACCTTCTTGCTCAGCTCTATGAATTGACCCTGATACAGCTGCTCAATGTGTTGTATTCGTGACAGGACGATGTCCTTCTTTTTGGCTGACCTCATAATGCCTGTATGAATTCAAATATAGAGATACAATACAAGTATCAGGCAGATGACAATTATATATACAGTTTTAGCTGAGTAGAAAATATGTTTTAGCTGAGAAATTATTATTCAAAATTTAGCCTTCTAAATATGCTTTAGCTTAGAAATCATTATTCTAAATTTAGCCTTCTGAACAATAATGGGTTTTGTAATTCTATGAATATTACAGTTTAACAACCTCCTCGCTTAAACAGATATACAATATAAGTCGGCTCAGTCGATGTAGGGCCTCGTAATCAAGTGCACTCACGATAAACAATTACCTTACATAAGACTACACATTATATGTCAATGTATTACTTCCGGTAGATAATACTTTACCTTTCACATCCATTTGCCCTATTGGATCTATCCAGACTGGATTGCCCTGTTTGTCCTCTCCAACCATTCCACCTTGGTAGTACTTTTCAATTACCTGTCAAGATAAAAACAAAGATACATAATTAATAGCAAATATTGAATTATGTATGATCAGATTGAATATTAATGTGGGTGATACAGCAATTGTAGCTCATGGGTCTGTATTCGATGAAATCAACTGTTTCAATTTGTTATATTCGAACATGGCACTTCTTCTCTGTGCTAAATAGTTGTCTGGCGAGATAATCCTCTTATGTGAGTACTTCTCCAGACACATACTGACTTTATTTTCGGAGAGTACATGCACGTTTACAATTCTTTTTCAATGTCCATAATAGTATATACCTAGCGGTATAATTATTATTTCGCTTTTAATTTTAAAATATCCGTCATACCAAATTTAACAAACAATAATATTCATATTAAGGGAATACTGATTTCATATTCGGTTCATATTTGGTTGGGTTGTTTCCTTACTTCAGGTACTTTGTAATCTGTTACTATTGTATCTGCACCAATCTTCCTCCTGGCTTCTGCACTCTGCAAAAAAACACAATAGAATGCAGATCTCTAAAGACAACTTTCGTATTTAATAGGAAACATCTCCAAGTACATTGAATAAATACTCCCCGGTTGCGTTGAATGAATGCTTACACTTCTTATCATTTCCTCTGTTTTCTCAACATCAAAGTTTCTCGCTGATAAAAAGAAAACGATATGAATTTAATACATGATGCTTTAAAAAGTTTCTACTTTGAGGAAACTGTTTGCTTCCATTTGATGTAATTTGTAAGACGAACATTCAGGTTATATGCAAATTTGGTATTTGTGTTATTTAAACAAAATACACAAATTAAACAACTGAATAATAATTGTAAATTAATTTGTCTAATGATAGCAAGAGATAATCAAAGTTTAACATTGGTTATGTTTAAAACCTATATGATATATTAATCAATAAAAATAATTATAATATTCCAACCTCTGAGCCATCGAAGACAGTAATAATCATCATGTTCAGGTTTCAAGAGTAAATCCCCCACCTTTGCTTTGAACTGCAATAAATTAAACTCTAGTTCATGAACTTATTCAATGCCGAACACTTATCTGTGTTGTGAAATGACTGCATATAATTGACTAGCCATCATGTTATATGCAACAATTATATAGTATGTGTCGCATAATAAATGTCATTGGTTTTTATTGGTCACCACATGGCTGACATACCATGTCATGAATATTATTACCTTTGGGGGATCGGTATTGCTCGTTTTTTCATACAATTACTACATGCACATGATAGACTCAGTTATACGTTTCACTATTTGCCAAGTAAAATTGCCTAACGGCAACACCACGCCAATCGAGTTACATTCCGATATATTGGAAAATCTGGGTATTGATTACATTTGTACGTCTCTAAATATGAATGCGCATATTATATTGCGATACATTCAAATAAAATCAAGACATTTGCATGCTATGTATGGAATGAATAACTAAGCATGTTCCAACATTGCGCGATGACAGAGAAAAGACGGCGATATGCGCGATAATGGGTGAGACATAGTTGTAACCGCTATTTATACGAACACCCCACCCACAGAATCATGTTGTCACGCAATGATAAACAGTGCAGAGTTCTTTATTTCGATTATAATATATCGAACTGTCGATAAATTGAATATACGTGCGATATCGATATCGACAGTTTGGTGAGCTTTCAAATGTTGTACCTCTTATAAAATCGTACGCCGTGCTTTCATTGGTTGATCGGCATCATTTGCAGCCCAATTATCAGACGATAACTGGACAGTGCTTTGCGTGTGTTCAATGCACGAATACGATAGCATTGGTTCTGTTTATTCACATTTATACGGATTGCTTAAACAAACCATGGATATTTCATCTCAATAAATCTTGTTCATTTCCATCTGGAAAACTACCTATAACAGCGTCTTTTCGCTTGTCGTTTGTTGATGAATGTTCTATGCCAGAGAGTGTTTCAAGTATAATCATGGGGATTCTGGCTCATTGATGTCGGTGTTTCTTTATTCTATACTCGTATTCTATACCTTCTTCATTTGAAAATGATATTTAAATATGTAACGGGATAAGATAAAGTATATACAATTGTTCAACAGCACAATTAGATGACGTAAGCAGTCACCATGCAAACTTATCAAGTACATGAGTCATCTTCCTGTGTATTGTCTATGAAAACCAGTTTTCGACCTTTAGACTAGATATACGAACCGTAAAGCGAGTGCTGCCATGATGACTACAATATTGGCACGTGGCTAACATTTTAAAAAAAGAAAAAAAAAACGCTTGCGCGAAGCACCAAGCTATAATTACAGCTACAACACCATTGTCTAAAACTATTTTGAAATACACGTCAGTTATGATCTTGTAGCATGACAATACACAGCTTGACCTGACAACTAAATGTTACTGTGATCTGTTTGACCTATGACCTATCATTTGATAGATGAAAACATGAATGAACGCATTTGCACTTTATAAAATCCCAATAAAATCAAGATATAGGAGGATGGATCTTAATTGATGAAATCATGTTTTTATATGTTATAAGTTCAGTCGAAATTTACCGGTTCTTTTTATACGATAACAATCCATTGTAGGTTGATACAAAACACACATAAAGTGAATATAAATGACGTCAGAGCTATACACTATGACTTCTATTCTCTGCAAAACATTTGAATTCCGACTTAAATTAATGTACACAGACAATATCCATTGAAATTAGACAATGATTCACATGTGCCAGCCCCGCCCCTGTCGCTCTCGCGTAATTCAAACATTTCGGCGCGTCGATGACGTCACCAAACAATGAATGCTTGCTAAAACGATGCAATATTATATTAAGCCGTATAATATGAGGGTAAATAGTAGTCTTTTTAGTATAAATAAGATATTAGTATATTATTATTATTTTTATATGATTAAAATATATAAATTGAATCTATTCTTGTTTTGCAATCACATACTGTATATTTTACCTTTTCCAGACGTTTGCTATTCGTAACACAGACAATGGAATGAGTTGAAAGTCTTTAGATACAAGCAGCATATAGTGAATCAGACATTAAAAAATACAATGTACCTCCTTCAACTTGGCCTCCTGCTTAGGAGTCATATCACCCACCGTCCCACTCATGGCGATGTTTTGAATCGACAGCGGTTCAGACAGCTGATGCTCCGTGGTGGTCCGCAGCTACAACCAAAGGACAAGGTAGAATTACGATACAATTACCACCTCATCTGGTGCAGATGTCATATATTTCAAAGTTCGAGGTCGACACTGGGTCAAAGAGTCGGTTAATATGTAAGCCAGTGTACTTCGCAGCTGGTCAGTGACTAGATCTGGCGTGAGCAGTTGTAAAGCCGATCACATGAATATCAAATATCTATTGTGAATTAATTATGCTCATAATAATAACGATGATAACCAATGCAAGTGTGAGGTAGATGATGGTTAATATTTAATATATTTTCAATAATCAAATAATAATAATATTCCAACCTCTGAGTCAGCGAAGACAGTAGTAATCACTATGCACAGCTTTTACTAGTAAATCCTTTATACTAAACATTGAACTAAACTATATTATATTCAAGGACCTAAAAAACTATGTCGATAGTGGTGTCATTTTGGAGTACGTCACTGATCACTCATTGATTTCTTAAGTCCCAACAACGGTGACGCAACACAATACAGGTGCAGACGAGCAAGTTGTCGTGGCAGGGTAATATTATTAAAATTCTGTGAGGGTAGGAAGGAATATCCCGTGAGCACAATTTTGTTTATTATAATTTATTCTTGTCAGGGATTTTTTTCACGGAGAAACGTGTTATAATGTTACAACACATTAATCACTCGTAAGATTATAATGTTATGTCAAGCTTTGTTGTATACCATGCCGGGTTATCTGTGAGAAACACATCAACAAAAGAATTCCAGAAATCCTTCCAGTACTGTTTGTATTTTCTTCTATACTTGCAGAACGGAGTTGTACCCCATGAAGACATCTTTCATCCAAAAGCTCAGGTGCGATTTGTTTTTGGACAAAGCTCGAATCTGGTCTCCTTTAATCCAAACCACGGACGAGTCACTCTGTGTATGTAGCATATGTCCATTAGCAAACTATTATTATTAATTATAACAACTTTGACTGTGATCAAAACGTTTCGTTTTTTGTGTATAGCAAAATATAATGACGTAATCAGTCACTATGCAAAGAAGCTCATCAAGTACATGAGTCATCTTTCTGTGTATTGTCTATGGAAATCGTTTTTCAACCTTTAGACTAGATACAAAGCGAGTGCTGTCATGATGACTGCAATATTGGCACGTGGCTATCTTTTCAACGATTGACTCAAGCGCCAGTTATAATTGCATTATTCTTAGCTACAACACTCTTGTCTGTAACTATCGCGAAATGTATGTTTGCGGCATGTCAGTTATTGTCATGTGATTATGACTATTTGCGCCACAATACACCGCTTGACTCATAAATTAGGAAACAAGGTGAGAGTATTTTTGTTTCGAAAACAAAAGAAAACTAGCAATATACTACTACCCATTTTATTGGTTGTGTCAAATGATATACGCTAGAAACTGCTTACACTAATTCTAATCCCTGATCACCTTCAAAGTACACTGGCTTATATATGAACCCGCTCATTGGCTCAATTACGGTCTAGAACTGTTAGGTTTCATGAGTCTAGATAACTATTGATACATGGCTCTCTCTGTGTCGGTTTGTAGGCTTTGTGATGTATTTTAGTAACTTTAGACACATTCGGTGATATTGAAGTTGTTTTTAGATATTAGGACAACACCGACCGTAGTTGCCGCACCGTGTACCTAGCTAGCACTGGTAACTTGATTTTTGCACGGTATTCCTTGCTTTGTTGACGTTGTATGCCAAAATTTAGTGCTTCTATTTATTTTATCAAGGTAATTATATTACTCGTTGTGTATCGTACCTGCATCGGGGTTTCACTAAATTGTTCATTTAACCGGAAATGTATTGTTATATTTCGTAACTCGATGCTCATAACTCGAGGTCCGTAACTCGAACAATTCAGCATCTCCCAAGCACACGGCTATTATATACGTATTATAAAAAAAGTTTTGTGTTATTTCCTAAAATGCTATTATCGCACAATTTGAATATGCTAAGACCACACATTTAAAATATATATTCCCCGCAATGATAGAACCGCCAAATGTTGTTCCGGTCCGTTGACATGCGCCCTCTATGACCATAAACTATGCTGCCATTTTGTTTATCAATGACACTGTCCCACTGTCCAAATGCAGCCTACTTGAATGTCACCGAGTGGATACGAACATTTCAAAGCAAGTGAGCAGTATCGTGTATTTTTACACTTCTGAACCGTGAACTGAGCTTTTGGCGTTTGACTGAGCTTCTGAAAAATCAGTTCTACCAAGAGTGGCCCAGTATGTGATGAAACATGTGCCTGTGACTGGAGAACATTCTGGATGCTGCAATTGAAAACTTGGGCGATGGAGATCTTACAATGCATGCATCCTTACATGTTATTTTTTCGGTATAATACAAATATTGACCCCCAGCCTCGGTCGATATACAGATTCGGCTTCGCCTCGGGCAACAATGCTCCCTTCGGGTCGACAATTCTGTATATCGACCTTGGCCCGGGTCAATATTTCTATATATAATATGATATTTCTAAAATATAATATATAATATAACATTAGGCTTCTGCGATTGCGCAGACGTTGCGATAGTTCTAAAAAACATTAATTGATACAGATTTGTTGACCTTCTCTGTGGTGATGTGGGTTTTATACTGGGTAGTATATAAATGCCATTCCGGGTAGCTACACTTGTGCTTCCCTTAAATTAGTTAGCAGAAAGACACACGGGCGAACTCACGCTAAATGTATGTGTACTGTTAATCAGTAGTACGTGTGAACTATCCTCGTGGATGCGTACATGAATAGTCAGTCACTAGATACTTAAAACGGACACTTTGAACTGCAACGTGTAAATTAAATAAATTATATTCATCAAATAATACACGAAAGTACAGAGTAGAGCTTTGTCAAATTATAAAACATAAATTATAACACGAATACGATGAAAATATAATGTTCAAAATCAGAGACTTTGTCATCCATTTACTATTCAGTACTCATCGCATCAAAAAGTGTATCCGGTTCGACGACTTCTGCAAAGTAGTAAAGCGTTTTGTTTTTGGTCCACGAGTGTGAGTTGTCGAATCTTAAAATGTCTGAAATTAAATGCAAAATATATATGCATCAATTGAAATGTGAACATGATAATACTATTAGTATACCTGATACTTCATAACTGGCTACGAATTGCTTACAATGCTTAGTTATCAACTTAACTCAACAAACACAAACCTAGCGGTAAGTTGTAATACTATTATACCATTTTCCGTCCACTGCGAGATCCCGCGTTGTGCGAGATCATAGTATGTAGTCGTGTCAAAAACATTGCGATTCAACGAACGTATTTTTGAGATATTTCCAAGCTTAATAATGTGCAGTATACATTTGATGATTGTAATTTTGATGAATTAGAGTGTCGGGGTGCTGTACTCTCCTCTGAAAAATCATCATTTCGACATTAAACTAGAGGGAAAAATTACCATTGCATAACATGATCTATTAAATATATCGCAAAGCCTGGGTTCAATTCATTGTCGTGTAGTAAACCCCACATTTTGTTCATAGTTATCATAGTTCATATAATCATATAAATAGTCCAAGTAACTATGCTGTTCTCTGAATACTTCATTCAAAATAATTTATAATGATTTTTATGTTTCCTGAAATTCTGTAAATTAAGTTGCTGCTCGTCATTTATTTTGCGATGCTTGAATAACCGTTTTCTTGCTATTTCCGGACTAACTGCGAAAGAACAAACACGTGCTCAATCTGAAATGGCTTATTATATTTACATGTTCCAACTTCTGGGCAATCAATACTTCCATCTTCATAAACCAAATGACTGTTATGTTTTTCCATTTCTTGTATCTGTTTTATTTCGTTTTTACCATACTGTAGAAACACAGACAATCCTATATCACCTCCCTCAGTTTTAAATACGTATCTGTAATACACATATACATATACATACATTTTGTTAACTGTTCAGAGATCATCATTGCAAATATATAGAAAGTATAAAGTTATCATGATGTGGTTCGAATAATTGTTGCAGATATGTGCCCGTCTTTATCTATGTTCTCTGTACCCAAACTTTTTTTACTTATTTTGCACCATACATTATACTATATTTATATTCCGATTCAATCTGTGTAATCATAAATTTTGATTTCACCTTATAGCACTGTCTTTCTTCTTCACTTCAAAAGTCAAATCAAATTTCTTCTTCACTATTTCTTTATTCAAGTTCTTGTCTTCTGGAACTATTGGTTCTTGACAGTAGTACTTTTCTGGGACTGGCCCGCCTAGGTTTATCTAAATAAACGACAAATGAATGAATCTTACAATAGAAAAGGCGCTTATTTTTGTTGACAGTTTTGATGGTATAGTATTGCATTGTATTGTATTTACCGCTCCGCATTCAGGGATAAAAGAAAGCTGCAATTTTCACGTGTTTGACTATAGCTTAAAATTTTGAGAAAAATTACTTTGATTTTTTTTTCTATTTTTTAACGAGGACATTCAACTAGGACTTGTACCGTGTTAATAAGTATAGGTAACTGCACTGAGTAGAATGTAACCCGCAGGACGGTGGATAGGTGTCATTGGCTGACGCCTGACAATTTGTCATTCGTTATCTGATTATTTAGAACCTGAGAAGGTGTGTCGACCGGGCTTGCGGTCATCGCCCACAGTGAAAATGTGTATTCAAGGCTTTGTGTCCGATACCATCTTAAGACTAGAGTTCCCCGTGCACAATGCTACCTATTCAACCATATTCTTAACCTTCTCACAAATTTATAATCGCTGTAATATACTCGTCACCCCGGTGGTTATTATCTAATTGTAATAAACAAATTACTTACTAGATGAGGACACTTGGGATCGCCAGTCTCGGGATCAGTCATTGTACCTCCCCAGTGAACTGGTAAACTTTCTGCAGGAATGTCTTTTAGTAGAGTTGATTGGAAATTGTCTAGTGAAGAACGTATATTGATTAGTGTACAATCGCGCCTAAGATAGGGAGATTTAAAACCCAATCTCCGCCACAATAAGACATACGTAGTTTATTGAGATATACTTACTACTGAGAACATGAATTTTATTGCGTACATCTACGTCTACGAAAGGCTTGAGCAAGGCATAAATAGCTGCAAAGATCCTCGGCACTCTCACAAAATAGGCGATTTTTAATGACTCCGGATACATGTCTTGAAGAAGGGTGATAAACTTTAAGAGAAAAAAAAAACAGAAAAAAAGTATTGGCAAATGAAAAACTGGATACGTATCATCCAATCCATAGGTTGAATTTTCATTTACTATTGACGGTGTGATAAGTTCATGTCATTTCATAAAAATAAAACTACGATAATCACAAACCTCAATACAAGTATCCAGACCTGGCTTCCATAGATGTTTCGTTCCTAGTCCTTCCATGTCCACAATATATGTGATTGATTCTATATGTTTTCCGTACTAGGATAGACAAACAAATCAGTTCATAGTTCATAACAAATGCAGTGAAGCGTTGTTATTGTTATTATTACGGATGAATTGGTTAATAGTTTATCAATAATACAACCAAGTACTGCGTCACTCAATTGTTTAAATAAATGATTTAATTTATTGTTATTTGAAACGTTGGTGTACGAATTAATTGACATGAATATTTACCTTTTTGCTCCTCTCAGGGAAAACACTGTGGTACAACTGTTCACTAAACCGTATCCGAGATAGAATGATATCTTTCCTTTTGGCTGACCTCATCAAACCTGCAGAGATTTAACAGAACCTAATATGATGTTCATTATGAACGTCGTGTTGCAGTAGAAAAAGGTTGCTTTAATCAAGACATTACTGTTGATAAGTAGTGCAATGAAATTTATTATTTTTATAACGATAAATTTCAAATTGATATTAAAGTGTAGTGATTCTGTGAATAATGCATCCACATTGACAGCACTCTGGTCTTCCGAACGTCAATTTATACCAATAATATTACTTATACATTATTCGATAACACGTTACCTTTCATGTCCATTTTTCCCAATGGATCAATCCACACTGGATGTCCTTCCTTATCCTCCCCAACCATTCCACCCTGGTAGTGTTTTTCTAATACCTAATCATAAACATAGAAAATTGTTGAGCCTTGCCTGTATATGGAATTCATACCTTATAGATGAGCTATGTTTGACCTCCGTGAATCGAAAAAATAAAATCAGATTGTATCTTCGTCATTATTTGTGTATTATTTTTGGTACAATATAGAGCGGATTATTATGAACCAAATTTAGCCAGTTTCAGTTATTTGAATATAACTTGTACTGGAGTACAGTGGAATTTAATGCATATAAATATATTTTAACATCTAACACAAAAACACACCACATCTGTGGTTGTTAGTGTGTGTGTTTACCTCAGGCACTTTGTAATTCGTTAAAATTGAATCTATGCCCCACTTCTTTCTTTGCTCCATGTTCTGTAATAATAAACGGACTGTAGTTACCGGTGTTTTGTTTGACACGGGTAAGTGTGTATGTACCCCTCAATCTTGTGGTTTAGGAAATACTGAGAACTTTGGCGTTATGTGCAATATAACACCATTTAACAATAATGCCCGCATACAATTACGATGAGCAATTAACAAAACATCTTTAAAATAAAGAAATGTTAACAAAGTAAGGTACACGGATTATGTACACCAGTGCGAAAACTCCGATAACTCTAGGCAGTGATCCTACACAAATGGCAGACAGCCCGGTGATTCTCTGCAGTGAACACCCAAGAATGGCAAAAAGCCCGATGACTCTATCTAGTGAACCTCCAAAAAACAATGTTGCACCGCACACCGTACACCAAACCACAAACGCCCATGCCAAAGATGAATAATAAAGAATGAATTCATTGGTGAAAAACGCGAATTTGAACAGGGATTACACGTGACATAATTTCAGTGTCACGCCCCTATTACTCGTCAAACATACACTGAAAAGCGACATCAACTCAGAAATTAAAAAAAGGCGCCTAGTAAAACAGAGCAAGTATTCTAGGCCACAATCAAAACAACATTTAACATAACAAATTAAGCGAACAACTTCATCTCAAAACAATCTTCCAGTGAATTTATGCGGAGATACATATCTATAAATAACTGAATGAGTTTATTTCATTGCTGTGTCTTTGAATAGATTTGATCAAATTATACTAGAATATATACGTAATTGTTTACGTAATTATAAATTGTATATAACCATCCGAACTTGCCATATATGTAAACTTTCCATCAGAGAACATTGCTACAAATAGAATTGCTGAGATGTGCAGGATGCCAAGTAACCACTCATACTTACACTTCTTATCAATGCTTCTGCTTTCACGACATCAAAATTTCTTGCTGTAACATGATATGAACATTCGTATTTTATACATTATATTGAACGTCTATGGTCTAGAAAGCGACCCTGCATTTTAGGGTTGGAGTGGTCTGAGAAATCGTTCTCTTCCATAACAAGAATGTATGGAGGTTTTTTTTGTATACAGCCATAAATATTTATGAAATACAATTTCGATGTAGTTTACGAGTTGAGCAGGATTTGTCCATAATTCTCGATTAAAAGTTGATTACAAAGGATGATGGTCTACAAAACTGTTGTCAATCAAAATGTTAATCCATACTGTTAGCGATAACGTTAGTATGCATAGGAAACTATTGGCAGAATTCAAATTACATTTCACGTGATGCAGTGGTATAATCCCAGGGACTGCGGAACCGAACTTCAAGGAAGTCATGAATTGGGAATATTATCCTAAACTATAAATAAAAATAATCCAACCTCGAAGCCAGCGAAGACAGTAGTGATCATCATGTTCAGGTTTCTCTAGTATGTCATTCACCTTTGATTTGAACTGAAATTAAATCATAAACGAATACATCTCAATTAGTTACATAGATTATTTCTATGTTCATAGATTATTTCGCGTTATTTGATAACATTGTCAGCAATTTCTTGTGTCAAGAGTAATGCAGTTTGTCGCTTCCTATGCTCTGACAAACAATTACTAGGAAACAAATAGAGATATAAAACAATAACGCTCGTTTGTATGTGTCCTAATACTATGACACACCTCGTGGTATATACCATGACCGTTTTCATGCAGCCGTGCGTGGTTGTGTTAGGAAAAGCCCTATTTGACAACAATTAAATTGAATGACATTATTTGATGCGCCAAGGAGCTGGAACCGCCAAGCAACATTCATATAACAACAACCCGCACTAATTTCAAATTTAAACCAATAGATCTTGCCGTCTTATATCACGCCACAGCTTTATTGACAAAACACGCGACTGCATGACCCAACTACCATGGCAACGCACTGTATTTAGACAGTGAATGAAGGTTTATAGCTGGAATTTTGCCATGATATAAAATGGTAAGGCAGCGGCCGAAAACAGTAAATGAACCTTGGCTGGTGAAGATTATGCCAATTCAACTGAGAAATACCCGTTTTTGAGTACTCTTCGGCCTATAGTGGCGAAATAACTCAATGGAACTCATATAAGAGTTAATCCGCCCATTTTGATACAGGCAACACATATCGCAAATATGACAAATAAATAACATAGTACCTCTTTCAATTTTTCCGTCTGTTTAGGAGTCATATCACCCACTGTTCCACTCATGGCGATGTTTTGAATCCGGTACTCTATATGAAGAAATTGACAATCAATCAAATCAAACCATATGACAAGGTATCACGATGCGCTATTCTTTCCTAGTCCAAAGTTCAATGTAATAATGTGGGGGCAATGTAATTCGTATATGGTCACAATCAGTGATTGTTAATGCCATGAACAGTTGTCATCGCTGCAATGACTATGTAATATCAAATTATATAAAGCCTGTCGGAAATTAGGTCTGGTCAGCGTCGCAAAACCAAATTAGGTTTTCGCCAATTGTTATGTTACTAATTTTGCCAGTTCTCAGCGCCCTCTGTCGGCGGAGTGATTAAACATGCAAAACTTGTCTGCAGTAAAATATTTTAGCAAAAAAAATTACGCCAGAAACAAGGTCAAATACAAATATAAAACACAATGTATGTATTAAATTAAGACTGCGGCGTACCCAACAGTTTCACTGTTTATATAATGTAACGGTAATATTTAGATAACAAATATAATATTTTGTAAATAATTAACAGTAAATAAATAATACCCCAAAATAACAGGGAGGTCTGTACTAAACAGCCCAATAGTAAAAGTGGGGTAAGCATTATTTAATAAACACTAATACTGGATACGGGACAATATTTTATGTCATTCAACCAACTACCTTACCGTAATTTGCATATTAGATATAGTTTAATCATGTGCAGGTTAAAGCAATTGATAGATTCAGGTATTAGGCACTAGGCCTGGCTACTGTAATGATAAATATTGTTTAAACATTGTAACAAGAACAATGCCATATTAATAGTAAATCCAGTTGAAAATGTGAATACTTTTAATTTAATACAAGCCTTTGGTCACGCGGCGTGTCAAACTGAACTAAGATAAATGCAATGCATATGCTAGTATGCCAGTGATAATCCAAACATATCAAACACAAAATAATAGGTAGGCACAATCCGTAAATCCAATTAATGTGCCTGATGTGAGATCATAATTCTCTGTTCTGTAACGATATGGCTCAGCATTGGAATACTGGTGATATTAATGATGGGATTATTGAGGTAATAGGAAATAACCGTGTTTTCTTATAGTCCGCTCGCTGCAAAATAAAAATGGCTCCATTATGGAATAATGTTGCAGTATATGATGCATGTATGCGGTCTGAATACGTGTCCCTAATCGTGAGCGTTTGCAGTAGTAATCCTAGAGCATATGACCCTCATTAATATCACTCCTGCAATGTGAATAGGAGTGTGTTCATTTCACTTCTGGTTCTTCTGGCACTAAAAAGGTGAAATGACAGTTCTAGTTATAATGATAAAGACCAAGATTAGAAAACTCGTTGAGGTGGAATATCTGGCCAGGATCAAGGTAATTACTTTACTGCATCGTCATCTATGGTCATCTAATTATAAACACCAGAGAAAATGTTTCTATCTTATGTTGTGACACAGAGAAATATAAAGGATTTATTTTGTTCTATTTACATCTAGTTCAGCAATACTCGCAGTGGCATTTGTATAGACGGGCCTAACTTTGATGGGGAAGGGTTTCTGTGCATTGGTCTTGTTTACTTCGTCCGAAAGTGCTGCACTGAGCATAAGAATAAACTGATAACCTCAAAGCAATCAATTTCATCATTGTCATGGCTGAAATAAATATTTCCTACATGTTTAACAAGTGAAACACGCATGATTGTTGATGTTGTCATAATAGCACACCTGGACAGCCTGGAAGAGGGTGTATATGGTATATACCACACATTTTGAGGTTAAAACTTGGTTATAGCTAGAGATCGAATAACATCCAGCGATCTGCCATTCGGTGTCATTAAACATTTCTTTAAGTCTTAGATAGTGTATTGGTGAAAGTGTTGTGTCATTATGCTTGCAATTGAGTATAATCGTGTGCAGTGTGCAGCAGGTGCAAAATCTTACTATTATGGAGATGATAAGTGATGACCGGGCTCCTTCATTTGAGATATAGGCTATTTTTGTTGCTTCTTTCTACTGTTTGGGCTTTGTCTCTTGTGTCTGTAGATTCACCATGCGTGTCCCAACGCCACACGGATAAGAATGGGTAAGAGGAGATAACGGACGACCAAGATGGTCTAAAATTGAAGACCTTCTTGGCATTCGTGGTCTTGAGGAAAGTCCAGATAAAACTGTACCCTCAAGAATGCTTTTACATCTGGAAGAAGTTGTTATATATGAGGTACGACGTGGCTTCAATTCCTTCTAGAAGCAAACCTTCCTATTCGCCCAATATTCCATGCAGTGGTCTGTTATTAATTTGTAACAATACAATCGACCATGGTTCCAACATATATGACCACCTTTTGTTGTTGAAACACACTCAATTTGCCTCATTGAATTATATACAAATCCCAATAGTATTTGGTGGGAATAAAATAAACTATCTTGAGTGGACAGGTGGGTAACAATGGAATGTTTTATTCGCTCACAGTATTTCTTAATACGTATATCACTAAGACCAGCAGTTGCTCTCTCACATTATTCAAATAATTATCTCAAGAAATAAAACAAAAACATCACAATACTTCATTCACTGTTTGAAAGCGGAAATTCAGTTGCTATATTATTCGCCTTAATTTTGTTTCAAAAACTACATATGCATGATGTAACGAAATGTTTGTATCATTATTCGGTATTATTATATTTAAAATAAAACTTGTTCTCATCTATGGCGGTAATTTATCAAGTTTGGGATTTTGGTGGACTGATTCAGATGAAACAGACAACCATAATAAATCAGTCAATTAGTCAGTTACTCAGTTGGCCAATCAATCAACAATCCAACAATCACCAGTCGACCTTACATAGGTCCTTACTTTAATTGGCCGGTTGGTTAGTTAGTTGATTGGTTGGTAGGTTTGGTCAGATACGCATCAAAGAAAACAAAATGTATCAAAAGCATGAACTCGAAATTCACAAATCAGTGCTCATCTCATCAAGTAGTGCATCTGGTTCAATGACTTCAGCAAAGTAGTGAAGAGTTTTATTCTTGGTCCAGGAGTGAGAGTTGTCGAACCTTAAGACGTCTGAAATTGAATGTAAAATATATGTGTGTCAGTGAATGAAAACTAGACTGGAAAGTGCACACTTGTCGTCTGAGATGTTGGTGATGAATAGCCTATAACAATCAATTAAGACCAATTCAACTCAACTCAAACAAATTCAATCATCATACTAAAACCATGATAAAAATACTACTAGGTTTGTTGTTATATTTGTCACGTGCTTAACGCCGAATTTGATTCACCCAGTCGCTGCCATTTCTTTCCGTTCTTAACTACAATAAATATCAAACACTCTTGACATGAAGTACCCTGAAGTGGTGTAAGTGTTGCAATAACTAGATCTAATTTGCTGTACTCGAGCACAAATCATAGCCCAGCTACAATTTACAGAATGTAACATGAACTAGAAAATGGCTGTCAAGAGTTTGGCTGGGGCTGTAAGAGGCTGTCGTTCACAGCACGATATTGGCGGAAATTTATGGTTTATTGAATTGTTATATTTACATGTTCCAGCTTCGGGGCAATCAAAGCTTCCATCTTCGTAAACCAGATGACTGCTATGTTTCTCCATTTCCTGAACCTGTTTCATTTCCTTATCACCAGTCTGTAAGAACACAGTCAGGCCTATATCACCTCCCTCAGTTTTGAATACATATCTGTAATAAAAGTATACACATGTCTGTCAATTCTATTGATATTTAATAAGAATTAACAAAGGTTGCTGAATCTGTTTATGTCAAGTTCACCTTATTGCACTGTCTTTCTTCGTCACTTCAAATGTCAAATCGAATTTCTTCTTTACTACTTCTACATTCAAGTTCTTGTCTTCTGGAACAACTGGTTCTTGATTGTAGTACTTCTCTGGAACCGGGCCACCGAGGGTTATCTGGAACAAAGAATGAATCATCAGATAGCATGAAAGAAACAACTTGTATGCATAAGAGTTGTCTTGCAAATCATCTCAAAGTGGATATATTATGGGCCAATATTTAGAAACTCTTATGGGAAAAGAATTCTGCAAAGATTCATAACAGAAAATATACAGTAATACATCATGAAAAAAACACAAAACTAAGTCAAGAAAGATAATATTCTGCACAGTTTTCTGCAATCGACCCCTCCCCAGAGTTTCCATCCTATATAAGATTATTTTACCGCCAGTGTTAAGAATGGCCGGGACGTGTAGTGCTATGGACAATTCCGAAGCATAAGTCGAACGAGAATATTCATACCTGTATTTTATTTATGATAGCCATTTTGTTATTATACATCAACATACTTTGATGAAGGATTCAGCAAAACCATCGCTTTCAGAATTTGTCATTAGGCGTTGTCATTGATGTATTCCAAATTTGCATTAAGCAAAGAATATATACAGACAATAGCTATAAATTATATATTTTTTATTATTAGAACGTCTTAAATACAAATATGAAGAAAAAAAATACTCACCAGATGGGGACACTTGGGGTCACCAGTCTTGGGATCAGTCATTGTACCTCCCCAGTGAACTGGCAAACTTTCTGCAGGAATGTCTTTCAGTAGAGTTGACTGGAAGTTCTCTAGAGAAAAACGAATACTGGTCAATTCATCGTGAAACGACTCCAGAGTCACCTGAATAAGGCAACTACATTACAAATACAGCATTAAAAACGTATAACAGCTAAGTGACAGAAAACTTACGACTGAGAACTTGAATCTTCTTGCGCACATGTTCATCCAAGAAAGGCTTGATTAACGCATATATAACTGGGAAGATCCTTGGAGCTCTCACGATGTAGATGATTTTCAAAGTCTCTGGATAGTTGTCTTGCAGAACTTTTAAAAACTTTGGCAAAAACATAAGATTTAATAATCCACTTAGTGAACTAGAATAACATTGTGTATTTATCAAACAGCATCATTGGATTCACACTTATGTGTCAGTGATAGAAATAAATGTTTGTGACAAATGAATAAATATTTGGTATAACGAAAATGATTTTTTTTTTCTTTTCTATGTGCTCGAAAAATAATGCCAATCTCCATTTAACATAAGATACATGACCATACATACCTCAATAAAAGTATCTAGACCTGGCTTCCATAGATGCTTCGTACCTAAACCTTCCAGGTCCATGATATATGTCATACCCTGTATGTGTTTTCCATACTATGTAAACAAAAATAAACGTTCAGTTAAATGCTTGTGTGAATAAAAATCTAACAATTCCTGGAGTGTGAAGTGTATTATTACTAACCTTTTTGCTTAACCCTGGGAATACGTCCTGATACAACTGTTCAATATGTTGTATTCGAGACAATACTATGTCCTTCTTTTTGGCTGACCTTAACAGGCCTGTGGAAATTGAATGAAATCAACTCAAACATTACAATAACCATGATTTATACAGCACAGAAAAGACGAATGTATGTGTATGCATACACATTTACCTTTGGGGTCAATGTTTCCCATCGGATCTATCCATACTGGATTGCCCTGTTTGTCCTCTCCAACCATTCCACCTTGGTAGTACTTTTCAATTACCTATCAAGATAATTACCACATGCATATCTAACAATGTCTCGATATTAGTTGGCGTGTATCATTAAGTTATATATTTATGCTACATGCGTATATGTCTCTAGTTGTGTATTAGGTTGTTACATATATAATAAAGGAAACAACAGTGTTAGTTGTTTTGTTTACCTACCTCAGGCGCTTTGTAATCCGTAACAATCGAATCTAAGCCCAATTTCTTCCTGTTTTCCATGCTCTGCAGATAATAAAAACAAGAAAAATACATACGAGGCTAAAATGGAGTATAGTGAAAATGTATAACCACAGTACATACAAAAACCATTGTGAAATTTCGAATTCCTATCGAATATATACTTACAGTTCTTATCATTGCCTCTGCTTTCCGACATCAAAGGCTCTTGCTGTTAAAAAAGACATGAATGTATTGATTCTAAAAGATGCCTATTGTGTCTAGATTTATGATAGTTGGGAAATTATCATATGCCTATTGATCAGTGCATTTACATTTCATTGAATACAAAATACAAATTAAACAATCAAAACAAATTAATGTTATCAAATCTGACGCTATGAACTCGCACTATATTAGAGCAATCATATTATAAATCATATTATTTTGAATAGTCTATTGAATAACAGCAGTATCTAATCTTGTACCCCGTGTAAAAATGTCATAAACATACATTGAATAAATAATAAAATTAATAAAACCAACCTCTTAGCCAGCGAAGACAGTAGTGATCATCATGTTCAGGTTTCACTAGTATATCTTTTACCTTGGCTTTGAACTAAAATCATAATATATGCATGTACATTAAATTACTCAGTACGTTACAGTTTAAATAAGTTATTGCTGTGTTAATATGTTCATGTCTACCGAATTGTAGAATTCATAATAAAACCAATCGACAATTGATCTATAATAAATAATATAAATTCACATACATGTTGTTATTATTATACCCGTTATTATACTTTTTTATCTTCATGGCAAATAAATTTTGATAGTTTATAATTTCTCCAAATCAACATAAGCTCATTTTTTTTGTCCACAAAAACAAAAAGGTTTAGGAAATTGGCTTTTGTGCATATATTTGGGTTTTCGACATTGGGGGAAAATATAACCACCATCTCTTCTTTGCCCGTTGGTGACTAAAAGTAGGGCATGTATTGGCATGATGACAACAATATTGTCAAGGGATTGCAATCTACCATGTCACGTTTCAACACGAATGACTGAATTTCTTGGCATCAGTTCTATTCGACTGTTATTTCGGTCTCAACGACCTTGTCTCAAACGCTTGAGTGAACTTTATCGACTATACTATGATGTATATTAGGTAGAACTAATTATTCACCTATCAGTTAGACATTGGTACTCTGTAAATATTGTCAGCAAAGGTCATTCCAGTCAAAGTTATCTTATCTTATCGGCTAACATGACCAGTAAGCCACAACAAGTCATCTTTACATGGGAACAAATTATATATTTACAGTTTTCATTCAAAAGCTGATATAGTCACACGATAGCAAAATGTAGACGTGGTAATTTTATAATGTATATTGTCATAGATAGTTGGACACCACTTATTGAATAAAAAGCTTCAGAAAAATAGCCTGTCACGCACGAATTGTAACGAGTGCTTGATTTGAACATCTTTTTAGATAGATGTAATAATAAGCTATTCATGCGGAAATCGGTCTTGCTTTACAATCATATACGAACATTTTATGTAAGAAATCCCTGGAATAAGTAAAGCAGTTTGATTACATGATACAGGCATTGCAAATGAAAAAAAAAGAAATAATAAACGAACCTCTTTCAACTTTTCCTCCTGCTTTGGACTCAAATCACCAACCCTCCCACTCATGGTGACGTTTTAAATCAGACGCTGAATAAGAAAATCTTAGCAATCCTTAGTGTTTGCTCCAACCAGACGAATGAAGCTTCACAGTGATGCTATTGTTGTGATGCTTCTCGTGATCAAACTAAAAAGCAGGACACGATGCGACTCGTACTACTATCACCGAACGACTGATACGTATTGTTTAAGACTAATGCCTGTATAATCCAAAGTTCGAGGATGTAAGTGGGGCAACGGATGGGTTTATATGTAAGCCAGTGTAGTCTGAGAGGGGTCAGTGATTAAAACAGACGTGAGAAGTTGTCAGTGGTAGACGCTGGTCAACGGACTGAATCGGTAACATGTTTGGTTTATGGCAATAATAACATTTCACACATAAGCGATTTTGTTAATTAAAACTATTATACTTCGCAGTAATAAATTGACTATACCATGTCAATTGATGTTCATGTCAACTTTTATAATCGACAGGGTATATATGTTAAAATTAAGATAGTCGTTTATCATTTATTCCATGGGAAAAAGAGTGCGAGTAAGGGCATCCTAGACAGTGTATTTTTTATTCGCAAATACCAAACCTATGTATCATTAGCGCTATCTCCATCGGTGAGGGCATTTTTTGTATTATTTGCCTAGATTAAATTATTCAACGGGATTAACGGCAACTGGTTTGAGCAGACGCACACAACAAATTCAAACAGATAGACATTATATATAGCTGTAGGACAATAAGAAATTGCTTAAAGGCTTGAAGTTTTGCTGGTGTTATCTGATGATGTAATTATGGAATAAAGGATGACACATTGCCGATTCTTGCGTAACAACGGGGCAAGAACGGCAATAATGGGCGTTACTTCAAATATAATACCCCAGAATGCCTAAGACTCGGATGTACTTGCACTGAGATGAGTGACAGAAAATAAATCTACCATATTTAAATTCAGTTCCTCTTAGAACTCTCATGAACAAAGTTAGTTCGTAACCCCATCCGCGTTATCAATATAATTAATTGTATACCTTATAGTAGGTCAAGAGATTTGTTTCTCAAATAAATAGTAATATATATATGTATATTAAGTTTGGGGTATTTATGTATAATAAAAACACACACGTTCAACCATTGCGCGATTATTGCATGATTTATTTGTCTGTCACATATGTGTGGTTCACTATGTAAGTGTGCGTGCGTGAATATTCATACAGAACATAAAAAATGCTGTTTTGTTGCGACAATCACTTATTAAAAAATATTGGCTTCAATAATGTACGAAAAAAACACATTAATGTCAGACAAGTTATATTCAGATTTTTTACTCCAGTTGTTTGCTTTTGAGTATAGACAAACCGAATTTGTGTTATAGTGATGCAGCGATCCTGCCCAATCTAAAAAAAATAAACACTAATATATAACGCAGCGAATGCATATTGCATCCAAAAACGTATATCAAAACACCCATTTACAAGTCAGTACTCATCTCGTCAAGAAGTGCATCTGGCTCGATGACTTCAGCGAAGTAGTGAAGAGTTTTATTCTTGGTCCAGGAGTGTGAGTTATCAAACCTTAAGATATCTAAAATCGAAAAAATTACAGTAATTAACATTCTTACTAATGTACTTTTATTTATGAGGAACAGTAATGTTCAACGACAAATGCAGATTATACAATTATTTACAATAATTTATCAATGAGCTTACATGTTCCTGGTTCGGGACAATCAAAACTGCCATCCTCGTAGACTAAATGGCTGTTATGTTTCTCCAATTCTTTGAGAGGTTTCATTTCCTTCGAACCAATTTGTAAAAACACAGCCAATCCTATGTCACCACCTTCAGTTTTGAATACATATCTGAGTAAGAGACAATGCAATACATTATTAACTTTTAAAGGCTGGTGGACCAGTTACATATATTTTAACTTAAAAGGTCTTCAAATGAAGTCAAACTAATAATGGAGTTTTGAAAATAAACCATTGGTTTTTATTGTTTATCGCTATTTTGTTGTAAAATGTTTCGAATGCCATGGTCAATTTATTGGCGTTGCCGAGTCAAACATTACTCTTTTTTCCGTTTTTTTTTTTTTTTTTTTTTTTTTGTTTTGGCTTGAATTTGGCAAGGAAATTCGCAGCCCCTTGCAGCAGTGAAGGCATGTGCGACTGGTCTGGCTACAAGGTTGTTCTTTGTCTGTACTAATCTGTTCTTATAATTTACCTGTGAATAAATATAACAATACAATTCCACATGGAAGAACAACAATGGGTAGCCGATAATTACCTGATTGCACTATCTTTCTTCGTTACCTCGAATGTCAAATCGAACTTCTTTTTGATTGTTTGACTTTCCAAGTTTTTGTCTTCTGGAACTTGGATTTCTTGAATATAGAACTTTTGCGGGATTGTGCCTCCCGGGTTAACCTGGAAAAGGTAATTAAACTGTCACTACCAGAATAAATGCGTTCACACACACTTATAAATATATTAATGAAGTACGCGCAAATGTTAACAGATAACACATGGATTTATCCACTTACCAGACTTGGGCATTTGGGATCACCAGTCTTAGGATCGGTCATAGTACCTCCCCAATGAACAGGCAAACTTTCTGCTGGAATGTCCTTGAGTAAGGCAGACTGGAAATTTTCTATTTAAACAACAGATCAGCCCATTGGTGAAAGGATAAAAGTATAAATGTAGCTCTAATAAGTCTAAATGTTGCACTAATGAGTTTGAGTGTTGTAGTAACGAGATAAAATGTTCCACTAATAAGATTAAATATTGCACTAATGAGTTTAAATGTTGTGTAACGAGATAAAATGTTCCACTAATAAGGTTAAATGTTGCACTAATGAGTTTGAATGTTGTGTAACGAGATAAAATGTTGCACTAATAAGGTTAAATGTTGCAGTAATGAGTTTAAATGTTGTACTAACGCGATTAAATGTTGCACTAATAAGGTTAAATGGTGTTCCAATGGTAGAAGATATATGGCAATAACTGAGAACAAGACGAGACACACTTACGACCAAGAACTTGAATCTTCTTGCGGACTCTTTCATCTAAAATAGGCTTGATCAGTGCGTAGATTACCGGAAAAATCTTAGGTGCTCGTACTATATAGATAACTTTCAAAGATTCGGGGTAGTTATCTTGTAGTATTGTTGAAAACTGCAAGTAATATGAGTACGATATATGTCCAAATTGAAATGCGAAGAAATGGCAGTTGATTTATCCACAAATATATACCCTACTTACCTGATTGAACAGATCAATGCCTGGTTTCCATAGATGCTTTGTTCCTAGTCCTTCCAAGTCCATGATGTAGCACAGGCCCTCAATACGTTTTCCATACTGAAAAAGATAACATCAGATGCTATTTCCTTATTATTTGTTCAATGAATCGTTATTTTGTAGATGAAATTTTATTTCGAGAAATATATTCATTAAAATATGTGAGCGAAGAATTATTTCATGACATGTCATGTATTTAATTGAAGAACTCTTTTATCGTGTATTATGTTTGTATATTATCAATGAAATTTTGCTTGAAAAATAAATATATTGAATGTTTCCATCCGATGTATTGATGTACACTACTACTTACTACCACTTACCTTTTTGCTCAATGCTGGCAATAACTCTTCATACATCCTTTCAGTGTTCTGTAGTCTTGTAAGTATTATGTCTTTGTTTCTCGCAGATCTCAATAGACCTATATTGAACAGTAATCATATATTATCTTCATTAAAGAAAAATACACCATATGCATGAAACGCTCTAATAACTCTTCTCTTGCGATGTAATAATGAGCAAATGTCTAAAGTAAACAGGAAATATTCTTCAACATTAATGAATCAACTGTTCAGTTACCTTTGGGATCAATTCCTCCAATAGGATCGATCCAGATTGGATTACCATTTTTAGTTTCTCCTACCAGCCCACCTTGATAATGCTTCTCCATCACCTAAAATCGAATGTTATAATTAACACAAACAAACATTGTATAATCATTAATAATATAATCACAATCCCCTGTAAAGTCAACTACAAATATACTGACAATCGTATTTGATGAAATCATACCAATATACACATATGAATATAAAGTGTACCTCAGGTGCCTTGAAGTCTGTGATGAGGGTGTCTAAGCCCATCTTTTTCCTGGTTTCCATACTCTGAAAATACAAGTTATTTTGCAATTCGATAACTGTTCTTGGACATAACGACATCTGAATAAGATATCCAAATAAATGTTTAATGCTAACAAGAATTCAATGCAATCAATGTAAACTAATATTAGATATTACCTACATTTCTAATCATAGTCACTGCTTTCCCAACATCAAAGTTTCTTGCTGTTAAAAAGCAAAAAAAATAATTGTAAATCAAACTTAAATTATTGTTTTATAAATGTTCATCATTGTGGGTGGATGTCCGATGATATGGCTCAACTGTCGAAGTGTGTATAGGGAATGTTTGCATACACAAATAAAGAAAGAAATTGTTAAGGTACCCACCTCTTAACCATCTTAGACAATAGTAATCATCACGGCTGGGTTTGTTCAGAATGTCTTTTACTTGCGCCTTGAACTTAAAGAGTGAAAAAATAAGAATTATATTTTAGGATATAACATGAATGTTCCATAATAATTTTAATTTATTTATAAATTGCTTAATTATTTATATTCAGTTGTTTAAGTAGATATGTTTAAAAAATGGTGGCGTAATTACTTTATAAGTTTTAATCACAGTTTGTAATTTATCATTATCACAGCTGATAGACAGGGTAATCCAGAGGATAGTTTTAAATGAATTGGTTCGTACTGAACCAGGAATACATAGGTTATATGTTAGCCCTGTGTACAGTGCTGTGTGTACGGGGATGCGTTTGGTTGATAG